TATATATATATATGTGTGTGTGACGAACTTAGAGGCATCGTCAGATCATTTGTCTTTATCATTTATTCCAAATAGGTGCTAACCTTAACGTTCCTGTACATGGACATTGAGAGCGAGAATACGACTGGATGCAAACATGATCGTCTTCAGGTTTTTAATGGAACCACAGAGAGGGACCCATTGTTGGTGGGCTATGCTTTTTATGCTGTATCAGGAAAAATGAATATTTATCAATCTAGGACAATGGCTCTTTAAAGTCTTGTCAATTAGGCTTTGGCAAAAACCATAACATATTGCCGAAATTGATATTTTGACATTGCGTAAAAATGTCGCAACAAATGAAAAACGTTTTACCAGTTTACTGATGATGCAACCAATTCTTGAAGTAAATAAAGAAGATGTGTATTTCACAGGAGTACAAGGGATAAATCAAAATTGTACAAATCGCAATCATTTGTTGTAGGGTACCTTTTGCGGAAATACACTGCCTACGCCTCTGTCAGTGCAGAATAGTGGGGTCCTTCTTCGGTTTGAAACGGACAACTTTGTAAATGGCATTGGATTTAAACTTGCATACAGAGTTAACCCACAAGGTTTGTATTTGAACAATCAAAATATACTTTTTCTTCACTAATTTAGCCACATGAGGATATCATTCAATAATATTCAAGATATAAAAATGTATGAAAAAAATGGTATAAGCTTGTGTAAAATTGGCTTACATCGCAATCGATTTGCTTGACGGGTAAGTTGTTTGACCCGTTTTATCATTATTATATATCATATAAAGCATATTTAATACCCCCAAAATGGTACAGGTGGTTTATCTTATGCAGTTTTAATGATATCCTCCAGAAGACGACGCCTGCGGGGTGCCCGCCATCAGGCCCTCCTTGGCGAGCAGACGAATCGTCGGCGGTCGGGTAGCTGTCCCGCACAGTTGGCCATGGCAGGTGATGTTCCGGCTGGAACGCTACGGACACTACTGCGGGGGTGCACTGATTGACCCTCACTGGGTACTCACTGCTGCACATTGCTTCTACGAGTACGTCATACCTTTATCCGGACACTGTGGGAGAATTCTCAACCTCCATAACAACCCCCCCCCCCCCCAATCTTTGCCCATCCAAAAGAAGGAATAATTTGAGGATAAGAGACTAATTATCAATCTCGGACAAAAAGGTGTTTGCGATGGCGAAAGTAAATTCGAGTGGTCTATTTGACTTTTTCACATTATTTGTAAGCTAAATAAGTTTTTGTAAGCTAAATAACTTTTTTCTTGCATGAATGCAGTAGTTTTGGGGAAAAGGTAATTGTCGTTCACACTACGAATAATTCAGCCTTAGCTCTTCCATTTCCACACCCAGAAAACTAATACCACATGATCAAGAGCCCTTCAATTATGACATTAGATTTTATAGCAATTTGTAAAACTAATACAGATGCCCATGAACTACAAGTAAATATGTCTGACAATTTATTTTCAGTTTCCCTCAAGTTTGGAGGTGGCAAGTCATTGTTGGAAAACATTTAAAGAATTCGTACGAAAACGTTCAACAGACGCTTCATATCCAAAAAATCATCCCTCATCCAGATTACGACTACGACGCCAACTTCAACGATATTGCTCTAGTTCAACTGGGGTCACCAGCTGTTCTTAAAGCAGAGGTGACACCCGTGTGTCTCCCACGGACGTATTTTTCACCTGGAACCATCTGCTACATCACAGGGTTTGGGGATACTAAAGGTGTGTCGTGTCGTGTTATTAGATCGTGTCCCTGCCCACGTGTTTGCATAATTAGACCCGTTTTGGGGCCAAAGTATGATGTTGATTATGTGGAAGTTAGTTCCTTAAATATTCTGGAAAATTCTCAGATGACGAAAAATAGCACATTTTAACATCTTCTGTTTGACAATGAAAAGTAAGCCTATGTTATACCCACGGAGTGTAAGGCTATCTAAAACATTTAAACAACATCGTTAAAACAAGCAGCACGCGAGTCAAAGTTTTTTTTACACATATTTGCTAGGTTAAGTGGATTTTTTTCTTTTTAATGTGGAACAAAACATTGGTTTTAAGAGGCGATGAAAGGGACAGAGCATACAACAGACTTAACCTTTGGTTCGGAAATATTTTGGAAAACGAAGATAGCAAAGAAATGAAATGAAAATAGTAATGTCTCTAAGCAAATAGACACCGTTAGAATCAGGTGGCTGCTGTAACTGGCGGTATAGAGAAGTTGTTGTCCAAGTTATTCCTACGCGCTTGGTTACTTGGTTATTTCCCAATGGGTCAAGTTCACAATATAAACTTGATGTCCTAGAACTGAATGTTACCTTGGTCAAAAACCAGTACATACAATTGGTCACTTGGGAGTACCTTTTAAAAAAAGATATTAAAGTATCTAAGTATAATAATAATAGTGGGCATTACATTGTGTATGTGTGCGTTATCATTTTAATTTTGATTCATTGTTAATACCCTTACCTCACTGATCAATGATTTGCCTTGCAGGCACCGGAGGGGAAGACTCTCTGAAGCAAGCCGCAGTGCCGATAGTACCACCCGAAGTATGTAACGGCACAAATATATACGATGGCGCGGTGCAGGACACTGCTTTCTGTGCGGGTTTTGTGGCGGGTGGGGCAGATGCTTGCCAGGTTAGAAAAGAAGTCAAATTTTTGTTACTTTGGATATAAGTCATCTAAGCTGTTCACTGAGTTCATGTATATCGTAAAGTTACAATTACTTTTTCGGGTCTATGGAGTATGTCTATGTCTCGTTACTTTGGTTTTTCATTTTTTCTAGTACTACAATTCACAAAAGCAAAACCTCGTTCTTAAGGGGCACATGTCATGGGATTGCTTTTACACACAATGCCTGGCTCCTTATAGTGATTCACTTCTAATATTTTATTTCCATTCAGGGTGATAGTGGTGGACCTTTAGTTTGTACAGGAGATTCAGGTCTAAAATTCTTCCTCTATGGCATAACATCTTGGGGTGCTTCGTGCGGCGGTGCGAACCAACCTGGTGTCTACACCAATGTATTTGATTACCTTGACTGGGTTAAAAACACCACAAAGTTAAGTACAGCACTTCAGAGTCAAGCCAGTCCTTTAGTGGGATAACCGCAGATGTTCTAAAGCGTCAAAAAGTCGAGGCTATCGTATATATATATATGTACACATATATATGCA